TGAGAAAGATCCCAGGCTGAACCTACACAGGGATAATTTCTAGGATCTATTAGCAATGTCTGCCATAGAAGCAAGAGGGGCCGACATCATAAATAATACCATTCCTGGTCTAAATAGATCAATTTCATTGAGATAAAATGAAAGTGCTTTCTTCAAGTGCTTGCTCTCTTCTATTGATGCGAAAGTATAGAGAAGCCCAAGTATGGTTAAGGATGTTCTGACCAGAGAAAATTCTGGTCACTTATGACCTCAGTTTTGCAAGTCTCCTCCTAATAGGAACCTTGTGGCCGGGACAGCTGGTATCAGCAGGTCTTCTTTGAGCAGCTGTTTGCAGTAACCTGTAGTTGTCATGAGAACCAGGCTCTGGAGGACACTGGCCTGACAGATTTATTAGGCAGAGGTAAGAGAAACCCTTTTGTCACTGGATCTCATGGGAGCATATGACCACACATCTAGGCAGGAAGTGAAGACATTTTGGGGTCTGGTGACTATAAAGGCCGAGAGAATCCTAATATGGCTTATCCCATGATACCAGTCCTCCGCGTGTTCTTGGGAAAAGCTCTTAGCACTCTAGCCAACCAGGGTCCTCAAGAAACAGGATGTGCTGGGCTAGAGGTGAAATGACACCCATCGTGTGCCTGTTTTCTGGTCTCTGTGACCTTCAAGGGCTTTCTAGTTCCTTGGCTTCCCAGCTAGAAGGGACTTGGGAGTTCAGCCATTTTATGTCGTAAATGAGGTCCAGAATGGGAACGGAATTTGTCCAAGGTCACACAGCAAGTAAATGACAAAGGTAGGATATGAGCCCCAGGCTCCTGACTTGGAGAAACATCTCACTCTCCATCTTTCCACTTTGGTCTTTTGCACCCTTGCCGACCCTTGAGAGCCATTGCAAATGCACCAAAATCCCCCCCTCTGCTTAAAACTTTTATGTGGCTTCTGGGAGGAAGAACAAACAGAACTCACAGAGCCATCATGATCTGTCCCTTGCTAAACAATCTGGCCTTGTTTTGCTTTCCCTTTTCCCTCTCACCTTGAACCCTCTCCTCCAATAAGATTTTATACTTTTACACTTGCTGACTGAAATATACTCGCTTACACCACACTCCTTCATCTTTGCACTGGTTATTCCTTCTGATGAGAGCACTCTCTCCCTTCCCCCTGAAGGACCCCAGCTCATTCCTTGGTTCTAAGCACAACCTTCTCTTTCTTGCTCAGGGGATCGTCTTTTGAGTTTCGGGTCTGAGTTAGCTGCTCCATGGATCTGCATCTGGAAGCTTGTCATTTCAAGTGTGCTTTTTGGACCAGCAACAATGGCATCACTTGAAAGCTTGTTAGGTATGCAGAATCTCAAATCTAACCCAGACTGCTGAATCAATTTCAGCTTTAACAAGATCCTCAGGTGATTTTCCGGCACATTAAAGTTTGAGAAGCAGTATTCTGAAGCACCCTTCCACGCACATGCACCTTGTGATATGTCCACTGCAACTGCCTACCAACCAAGCTTTTCCTCATTCTATGCAAGATCTGTCTTCTTCATGTTTTTATTTCCAGCCCTTAGCACAGGGCCTGGCACATAATTAGCACATTAAGTGAATCAATATATCAATTGATTAATGAAGTGAGATCTCTTCAAGTCCTTTAATATTTGTATTTAGAATGTTAGAACACGTTAGAGTTTCCAGAATTCAATTATTCCCAACCATGATTACAGACCCTTAAGAGCTCAGAGAGACTGAAGAGACACTTGGGATTGGGTGGGGTGAAGGGGTGTAGAGTAGGAGACATAGAAGGTGGGGTTCCAGGCCACCCACTCGAGCTCCTGCCAGAAAACTCTGTAGTCATCTGGCCCACACATCTACTCATCCCATTATTCATTTATTCAGCAAGTAATTATTTAGCACCTACTTATAAGCATGAATAGGACCTAAGGGATCACTAACTATATATAACCTACATTGTGGTCAGGAAGAGAGATAATACATAGTAAACACATGAACAATATAAGATACTAAAACTAGTAAGTATAAGGAAGAAAAACACAATGGCATGATAGAGAGAATGGGAAGAAATTTTAGAGAACTCTCAGAGGAGGTAGCATTCTGACTATGACTTGGGGTTCTGTATAAGATTTATTTAGGAAAAAAGTCTACTAATTAAAAAGAAAAGCACTGTATCGTTTATACTGATCATTTCCTAGACGAAGAGACTGAGGGTCAGAAAGGGGCGGAGCCCAAGACTGCACAGGAAGCTTATTAGATAGATGTGAGTGCAGGTCCCCCAAATCCTTCAGAGAGGCCAATGTGGGAGGTTGGGAGTAATCTCAGATCCCCTTCGAGACTAGAAAGACCAAGAGGGAGGAATCTGGGTGACACAGACTAGAAAGACCAAGAGGGAGGAATCTGGGTGACACAAGCGGGGGGTTGGCTGACAGAGGCTGGTGACTAGCTGGCTGGCTGGAGGTTAGCAGCTTATCACAGCCCATTACCAAGCAGGCTGCCCTGCCTCTGTGGGCGGCCAGGCGGCCAGGGGGCCTTTCCAGGAGATTTACATCCTAGAGGGTCATAAAGGATCCCAGCAGGTTGTAAAGACAAAGTCAGGAGTGGAGCTCTGGCTCAGCTTCCACCTAAACTCCCTGAGCCTTGTGGGAAAGCCCAATAAAGTGGAATGCCTTTCTCTTTCTCCAGGCAAGATGGCAGCTGAGATGACTCACGGGCAGCTTTCATCTGGGCTTTGTGCTTCTGCCTGCCAGTCTGCCCTCCTTTAGCTTTTATCTAAAGAACCATCCTTTCATGTGAAAGGGAGAAAGTTAAAGCCCAGGACCCAACAGAACTGATAAGGCCTGTCCCATGGCAAGATCCCTTTCATCCCTTGATCAAGCTCTCATCTCCTCCCAGGAGGGCCTCAAATTCTTGGAGGGCCACTGCAAGTGGTGGGAGGGCTCAGGGTGAAAGCGCTACATAGAATAGCCTCAGTGTCAAACCCTGTGTAACTCTGGGCATCTCATTTAACCCCATGGCACTTCCACTTCCTTATCACCCCAGAAGTGGCAGGAATACCTTACAGGGTCATTTTGAAGCTTTTTGAAGCATGAAGGGCTGCCCACTAGGTATTTTGGGAATCCATGCAATTCTCTCCTATACAGCAATGCTACCCTGGCCCAGAACACTACACTATCTCCCTGGAACTATTATCACAAGAGCCTCCATAGCCTCACTGCCTCCTTCATGCCTCTTGATCCCTGTACTACAGGCTTCCAAGTGTGGCCAGAGGGATCTTTCTCCCTTGAAGGCCTGATAACATCACCCCTTGAAAAGCTGGAAAAGCTTGCCATTATCCTAGGGAGATAATCCAACTCCTTAACCCAATTAGGATTTGGCCCCTGCTGACTCCCCCTTCTTATCTCTTCTGACTCCTGCTGTCACACACTTTGCTTCAACTACAGGGAAATCCTCTCAACACAGTGTTTACCAAACTGTAGACTCATTTCCTCAGGGGTAGGGAAAAGGATTTTAGATGGTCTCCCAGATGATCACAGATCTACTAAACAACAAAGAATCCCATTTACCAAAAGTGGTGACATTACTTCTTTCATTCTCTTCTCCTTCTTTAGATAATTTCAGAAAATAAATCTTGACTTACGGCTGTGTCTTTAACATCCCTTTTATTGTTTTCTGTTTTTTGTTTCATTGTGTTTTTGTAGATGCTGTTGCTGGTCATTGGAATGGTGAGGTTTAATTTTCTATTCAGGGTTAACTAGATGGTGCTGGTTTTTCTCTTTATAAGATGATGCAGTGTTTCCGTTTCAAATATATTTTAAATAAGAAATGAATCTAAGAAAGAAGACCTACCTAATAAATAAAGTATACATTGTATGGTGAGATGGCAGAAACCATAAAGGTGGCAGGGAAATCATTAGAAGTTGAGAAGAAAACCCCTGGTCTCACGTAACGCTGGCTCCTTGGAGCATTTCCGAGGCTAAGTCCTCTGTCTGAAACATCTCTCCCCCGCCCACTTACCTTACCCCAACTCAAACTTGCGCCCTCCGTCTCAGCCCCAATACAGGCTTCACTACGTTGCCTAGACCAGATACCTATGCCTCATGTTCCCAAAGGATTCTGTTCTTCTATCATGACACTTAATTATCCTTGTTCAATGTAATTCCTTCTTTAACTCCCTGCAGCCAGGAGCTATGTGTAGGCAAAGACTACAGATGTTTCTACCTTTTGACAGTGCACTGTTGGCAACCACCATATAAAGGGCAGTTAAGTACATGCTAAATGGATGTTGCAATTAGATGCAAGACATGAAATGCAACCATTTCAACTCACTTGGCTTATCTGCCTGTATAGACGCTACAGTTTTTTATTTTCGTGCATCTCAAAACTTTCGTAATGACCTACACACACTATTTTATGAAGTTTTAGGGTATAGTGATTATGCCTTAATCTTGTTTGAACCATTCATGGGCTCCTTGCACAGTGACTGAAGCAGTCACTGCTGGGGACAAAACCTAATCCCTTAATATATGTTGAATTCATGCATTTATGTAGTCAGGGTCAGTTATGGACTTTAGTCAAGGTCATAGCTGTTTATTCTAGAAAAACTCAGATTTCCTATCTGAGTGAGAAAGTCCCCGGATTAGGGAGCATGGCACCGCCACCAAGCCCCTCTGTGATTTTGGTAGGGTACAGTGCTTCCAGGAGCCTAAAGTTCTTATCTAAGAAAACTGGAGGTGGGGTGAGCAGAGAGAACCACTGATTCAAAGAGAACTGACGTCCTTCCCTAGCTGACATTCCAGAAGTGTGAGAAGCTAAAATCCCCCAGAATCTTTCATCCTCTTTGCTCGTTTCTCATCTTTGCCCCAGATGTGACTGAGGTGATCATTGCCCTGATTTATGTGATCCACAAAAATTCATTCTCAGCCTATGGGGAAAGGGACCAGTAAGGGCAACTAGAAGCAACAGCACTTTGCTCCTCCACTCACACTCACACACCCATACCTGGGCCCCAGCTCGTCCTCACTCCTCCAGACAAAGTCGCCAAACTTTTCATAGTGAGAGTTGTAGTGGTGCTGGACTCGGAACAGCATCGAGGCTGAGACCTCCATCAGCGTGTTGTAGGCAGTCTGCTGCTCCTTTCCACTTGTGTACCCATTGTACAGATTGTAGATCTTGTCAGCTATTTCTGAGAGGGAAGAAGTGTAGAAACAGACCACTAATCAGTGGGAAAAAGTAAGGATAGAGGCACGGCTTGGAACAAGAAAGGTACGGTTGTGAGGGAGCTCCTTTGCCTGGCCTCTGGGAGCAGATGAACCTTGATTTTATCCTGAATATGTTATGGACTATGTGTTCAGTTGTCTTATCTGTGAACTGGAGATAATGAAGTCTACTCTAGACGTGCATTGGAGAACTGAGGTGAAAAGGAGATTGCTAAGCCATCTTAGGAGCAATCAGTTACGAGGGCAAGAGAGTGCTCCTAATCGCAAGCTTCATTATTAATATCATTATTGTGCCTGCAATTTAGCACAAAACGCTAAACACATGCAGAGGCTTAAATAAACTGCCTTGTTCTCATCTGCCGTCTCCTTTCCTCTCTGTACTATTCCAACACATTTCTGCCATCAGAAGCCTGTCAGGTTCCCGTTCGAAATCTTTCAAAGAAAATCCAGACTCTTCTGCTTGTCATTCATGGCCATTCCTATTTCAGTCATTCCTACTAATCAATCTAACTTAAATTCATCATGTGTAGAAGGCACATTCTTTCAGCTTTGAAAACTCGGATCAAAATCTATATGCATCCCCAGGTCATTATCACCTCTAAGAGAATCTGGGGACTTAGGGCTAGAAGGGGAAGAATATTTGCTTTGCACTATTTTCCACTCTGATTTTTATTCGTTTTATTATTTTTTTCTTTTCTTTTCTTTTTTTTTTTCTTCTTGCAGTTTTTGGCCGGGGCTGGGTTTGAACCTGCCACCTCTGGCATATGGGGCTGGCGCCTTACTCCTTTAAGCCACAGGCACTGCCCTCATTTTATTATTTTTTAACTATGTGCATGTGCCATTTTGAAATAATAATTTTTTAAATTAGCAGGAAACTATCTCAGATCCCCTTGCCTTTGAGACACGATAATTCACTGTCTCCTCTTATCTGGTAGCACATAAAACTTTTCAAGCTGATTATTGTGGAACTATCTCCCCACCCATAATGTGAAATTCTAGATAGGGGTGACCATGTCTCTGCTGTATTCCTTGAACCAGGGCTGTGGGACAGTAACTATATGACTTGAAGAGACACCAGGGCTGACAAGCTCCCATCACATTTTGCTAGTCGTAATGCAGAAACTATGTCTACACGTTCGTTGCCCAAGAACGACATATATGGTGGATCAACTTGATTAGTTGTGTGTTCAACACGTACAACTTTATGAAATGGGAAGCAGTGAACAGGTTTGATCTTGCATGCTAACTCTGACCGACAGCTACTGACTCTATGCTGAGTACTCTGAGGCCACCACTGCTGTGCTTCTGGCTTACTCATAGTGCTATAGTTCCACAATAATCACTTGATCAACTGCTGTGATCTGCTGATGATGTCTACCGTGGGCACAACAAGGTGAAATGGTCTTCTCAGTGTCACCTATTTGCCAACTATAGCATCTTCTTAAGTGGAAGAAAGTGTTTGGTCCCCAGGAAGCCTCAGCAAAAGGGACTCTGACTCTGCCACGCATGGCCTGTAAGTCAGAATGTGGGTAAACTCTGTCATAGAGGAGCAAAGATGATGCCAATGCCGGTCAATCTGAATTTTTTCCTTCATGGCTTCGTGGCTTTGATTAATGTAGCTCTCCATTCCTCCCGCTCTCTTCAGTCCTTCACCTTTTCTCCCCCCCCGTGTTAATACGAGCATGGGTATTGTGACCGTTAGATGCAGAACTTAGGAGAAATATGGGAGTTACCCAGGTGGTGAAAAGAGGGTCACCTACCTTCTGCCTTGTTGTCATCCACCAGTGGACAGGCCGTCCTCAGGGTCACCGTGCTTAGCTCTGAGTGCCTCCCCCGTGTATCCACAGCATACAGAGTGAACCTGTGGCACAGAAAGAAAACAGGGTACCAGGCTGCGACCTCACAGAAAGCCCCAGGAATCGCAGGGAAGATCACAAGTCAGGGTACAGAAGTAGTGGTCAAAAGAACACGGGATGCTTAGGCTGTAGGAGAAATAATCTGAAGGGAAAAATGATAGTTGGAAAGCATTTACAAGGACGGCCAGCATGCTGGGCACTTTGCACTTAATCTCCTAAAACACAGTTAGACAAAACTAAAGGCAGGGATTTATTATCACTCAAATCGCACCAATGAGGACACAGACCTAGATTGTGTATCTTTCCACTGCATTAGTTACTAAGGGACAGAACAAGGGACTGAACTCAAGCCGTCTGAGCCCAAGGTCTGAGAAGTGAGTCGCCAAGCTATCCTACCTGGCTGGATGTGTTCATTTACATATTCTTTTATCGTTCACTTAACAAATACTTATTGAGCATTAACCCCATGCCAGGAGCTATTTGAGCTGTTCAGGTTAAAAAGGTGAAGGAAGAGTCAAGGTTACTGCTTGCATAAAGCTAATGAAGATGTAAACAAACAAAAAAAACTTAATAGTTACGAGTCCTGGAGAACACAAGAGAGAACATGGTGAAAATGACTAACGTGGGGTACGGAGAGGATGTCCTTTAGACAATCATCCACGAAGGCTTTCTCCAGAGCAAACGCTTGTGCTGAGACCTGAGCGATGTGAGAGAAACCAGTCATGGGAGGAAACCATGGGGAAGAGCATTCCAGGCAGGGAGGCCAGTAAGGGGAAAGGCCCTGAGGAGAGCAGGAGCCCAGACAATTGGAGGATTAGTGGCTCACTTTGCAAAGACAGGGAGTCTGGGAGTTCTTCTAGATATAAGCCTGTCCCCACCTTCCCATGATGTCATCAGAGGCTCTCTGCTACATTACTGGGAGTCGATATAGCCCATGTGGCTTTAGAAGGGAAGAATTGATAAAACTCACACCTGGCAGATTCAGATCTAATCCAGAGCTCAGAATTCTTTCCCAAGCAGCCTTTGTCTTCTATCCTTCCTTGACAAACTCTGTGATCCTTATATCCCCAGATCTCTAAGTTCTGTGGTTTACATGATGTCTCAGAGGGGATTTTCCAGAGGATGTGAACCAGAAACGGTCTGCAGAGGAGGGCTGAACACCTTGAGTATCATGTCTGTGTCATGCCATCCTTTTTCATCAACTTTTTTTTTTTTTTTACACGGAGTCTCACTTTGTCGCCCTTGGTAGAGTGCTATGGCATCATAGCTCACAGCAACCTCAAACTCTTGGGCTCAAATGATCCTCTTGCCTCACCCTCCCAAGTAGCTGGGACTACAGGACCCCACCATAACGCCTGGCTATTTTTGAGAGATGGTATCTCACTCTTGCTCAGGTTGGTCTCAAACTTCTGAGCTCAGGTGATATGTCTGCCTCGGCCTCCCATAATGCTGGATTAAGGACATGAGCCACCGTGCTGACCCCCTTTTCAATCAGCTTTTGTGGAAGGTTCCCTATGTTGAGTGGAAGAACCCGGGGTCCTAGTGGCCCTGTTTCCCATTCTCCTTCCCCAGCACCCCAACTCAATCTGATTGACAAGTTTCAGAATGGTGAGCCCTGATGTGTACATATTAGGCACTTAGCAATTATAAGCTTGTTGTACAAATTAATTAATATGTGCTAAGACCTTAATATGTGTCAAGCCCTGAGCTAAGAGGTTTTACATACACTGTCACAATTAATTCCCCCAAGTACTCCTAAAATATAGCTACTCTTCTTCACTTTATTTCATACACAAAGCTTAGAGAGGGAAAGTAGTTTGCCCAGAACCACATAATAATTACTGGGACTGGCCATGTAAGCCTTGGTTTGTCTGATTCCAAAGACCAAGTGTTTAACCACTGCCAGCCACTGTCTTCTGACCACAGGTCCGTGGATATCAACTCTGTACAAATGTGATTCCATTAGCCATAGTTGCTGAAACTCAGCTATGTTTAAGTAGCACCATTTTATAGTTTTTCTAATCTTATGACAAAGTGCTAAAACAGGGCTGGGTGTAGTGGCTCACACCTGTAATCCTAGCACTCTGGGCAGCTGAGTTGGGTGGATTGCCTGAGTTTAGGAGTTCGAGCATGGGTGACAGCAAGCTGGGGAAGAAGTAACCTGAGGTTTTCTGCTTATAAAACCTCACAGAATCTTTGCTTTTTGCACATGCTGGCTGAGTATTCAGCTTGAGTAAGAGCAAGACCCTGTCTCTAAAAAATAGCCGAGTGTTGTGGAGAGCACCTGTAGTCCCAGCTACTCAAGAGGCTAAGGCGAGAGGATCACTTGAACCCAAAAGTTTGAAATTGCTATGAGCTGTGATGCCAAAAGTGACAAAATGAGGCTCTGTCTCAAAAAGAAAATGTGCTAAGATAATCACTCTCATGATCCCATCTTTCAGAAGAGGAAACTGAAGATTAAAAACATTAAGCCATGTGTCCAAGTTACAGATTCAGAAAATGAAGGAGTCCCCATGGTGTGTCTTACTCTGAAATCCATACTCTATGATCCCAGCTGCCATTTTTCTGCTCCAGCTCCACTACTCACTGGCTCAGAGGGTCTGAACTGGGTAATCTACATGAGCCCTCCCATCTCTGACACCCCATGACCTGATGTCTCAAAGATTGTTTCAATAAAAGTACCATGAGTCAAAACTTCTGGGTGAAGGGAATCACGGAGTAAAGAGCTTGGTCTTGGAGTTGGCCAGGCTTGGTTCATATTCCAGTTGAGTCAAAACTTCTGGGTGAAAGGAATCACGGAGTAAAGAGCTTGGTCTTGGAGTTGGCCAGGCTTGGTTCATATTCCAGTTTTACTTCCATGCTCTGTAACCTTGGGCAAGTCGCTTCACTTCTCTGAGCTCACTTCTGCTCTCTGCACCTGGCATCTATGACAGGGAGACTATCACCCACTTCACAGTTTCAGTACGAATAGATGTGAAATGTAAACACTGTCAGGTGACTTGTCATTGGAAAGCCACATGGAAGAGTTGGGAACAAGTTCACAAAGAAACTCTGGGATGTGAAATTAAGTGGCCAAAGTGGGGAGGTGAGAAGAGTTTTGGGTAACATTATATAAACACTTACCAACCACATCCCAACCCGTCTAAACAGTGGTAGAAGCAGGATGCATAGTCTAGCCCACAGGTCCCAGGGGGTGTGTGCTCCAGCTTGGGTATAGCTATGTTGCTGCCATTTAACACAGTACTCGGCACAGGGTAAGCACGCATTTGTGCAAATGAACAAACCTGATTATACCATCTGCATTTCTCAATTTCAGTCTCTCCATCAATAAAAAGTGAATAATTTCATAGACAGGGCATGGCCGTGTCACGGATGACATGGAATGATGCATGAGAAAATAGCTTATAAGTAGATTTTTATAAAGACCACATATAGACGCTTACTCATGCATGAGCACACATTTTAATATAGGCTTTCTTGGAGTGAGAAAGGGAGATATGTTTCAAATGAGGGAAATGTGGAAGGTTTGTAGGGGATGGAGACTCAAATGTGAGAAGCTGGAATATTTTTAACCCTGCTTTCTTGTATGCCTCTTATGTTTCTGTGATGCTTCTGTAATACATTTCCTCCCCCAAGAGGGTGTGGGATCACCTCTCTGCTTAGCCAAGCAGCATGGGCGACAGCAAGCTGGGGAAGAAGCAACCTGAGGTCTTCCACTTATAAAACCTCCTCACAGAATCTTTGCTTTTCACACTTGCTGGCTGAGTATTTCTTTGGGAAATTCCTTCACCTTCTCTGGGCCTCCTTATCTGTAAAATAGGGTGAAATTATCTATATCTTAAAAGTTGGGGGGGTTCAAGACTCAATCATAATAATAGACTCAGTTCAATTTGTGCTCCCTAAAAGGTACCTCCTACCTTTGCTATTGCAGTCACGACATGTCAATGGAAGCCTCGGGCTGGCGGAGGCCACAGGCCACCCTGCTGGGGGTGGAGAAAGAGGAAGACGTCAACCTCACAGGCCTGGGTCAAAAGTCATAAGGCCATGTGCTTTCTGCCTGTCTCAGCTGTAATTGTAGAATGGTTATAGAGACACATCTGAAAGTTGTTAGGGGACCAGGCTATTTCTGAAGAGAAGAAAGTGGTGGTCCTTGATGTGGAGAAGAAGGAAAGAGAGAGAGAGAGAGAAAGGGGGCTGGAGAGAAGCTGAGGAAGAGACACACTCTACACCACATGCAAACCCACAGAGCAGAAGCAGAGACAAAGACACACACACCCTCCCACGAGCGGGAGTGACAGCCAGAGCGAGAATAGTCAGACCTCTGTGCTTCTCCAGCATCAGGACGTTAGCTACTCTCTACTCAATTCTGCCATCTTTTCTCTGAAGCAGATGGAGGTTCGCTGATAATCTGAACTAAAACTCCCAAGCTACCACATAAGTCCAAATCTTCATTTCCAGGTGCAGAACCCAAGGCCCAGAGGGAAAATGACAGTTTTCTGAGTCCTCCCGAGCTCTTCCTTTACTCGGCCTTCACACCTCTTGTCCTGAGGCTGACCAAAGTCCCAGCTACTTAGCAGATGCTCTTATTATACAGACGTGGCTTGAGGATAAAGTAGGATGGGCTGTCTTGGAATGTGGAGCTCCAGGCCCAAACCACTGCTATTCCTTCCCCTAATCTTGTTTCAAGGGAAGGGAATAACACTGGCCAAGGTGGCTGAAAGCATGAGTTTGAGTACCAGCTCTTCCACAGACTGTGGTATGAAATCTTGTGTACTCAAAATAATATGGTCTTGGGTCACTGGCAGGTCAAAATGGAAAACAGACAATATGGGGAGATGCCTTGGGATGAGACTACTCAAATTCGAAGCATTTCCCAGCATTTGTTCATCGCTCTCAGGAGATTGCCAACTTCAGGAAGTAATCCTTATCAACTTTATCATCGTCTTCATCATCCTCAGGACAAATTCCTTACCTTGGAGCCATCAATGTGCTTCTCTGAAGTTTA